GATGAGTTGTGTCTCCTACTTTCCCCAGCAGATTCCCACTACTGCCAATCTCGCCCGCCCACCCACCTCCAGCTGTTTCCCACTACCGCCAATCCCTTTCTTATAGTATTACAATAATTGTTCAAGCCCCACTTATGAGTGAGAGCAAGTGATACTCAGTTTCTTTCAATGATTAATTAGAAAAATTATAATACATTATAATTATGTATTCATGTGATTATGTCCCCTACTAGATTACATGCTCTAAGATGGCAAGGAGTATGTCTATTGTGTCTGTCAATAACCTTAGTGCATAGTCCAGTACCTGGAACACAAGTACCCCCAAATATTTTTTTCAATAAGCTATTAAAAAGTAGGAAATGAAGAAGCCCTAAGTAAGGAAGAAGCAGTAGGATAAAAGAGAAAGGGACATGTGTGATATACATTTAGATGGTAAAATTAAAAAATCTTGGTAAATGATGAATTGACTCACCGAATATAAGAATAAGAGTGAGGAAGAATCTAGAATAACCCTAACTTCTACATTTGTTAGTAGGTAGAAGATGGTGCCATTTGCTGAGACAAAGAGTTCAGAGAAAGTAACTTTGAGTAGAAGGACAGAAACAGGCCAAGTTTGAGAAATCTGTTCTATCTCTAAGAGCATATGTCCAGTAGGCAGATGGAAATATGGTCTGGAGCTCCAAGTTTAGGCTTAGGCTTGGACTTGAGAATCATCAGTATATTACCCATGAAGCTCTCTTATTAATTTACTTCTTGCCAAGAATATCCTGCACATCTCCACTGGAATTGCTCCATTTTGTCCCCATATTGCCTCTTTCTGCAACTCAGTGGGTGCTTGTAATTTTTTTTAGGTCACCGTGACAAAAATACCACATACATGGGGCTTAAACAACAGAATTTTATTTCTCACAGCTCTGGAGTCCAGAAGTCCCAGATCAAGGTGTTTAGTTTCTTCTGAGGCCTCTCCTTGGCTAGCAGATGGCCACCTTCTTGCCATGTTCTCATATGGTCTTTTCTCTGTGTACCTACATTCTTGGTCTAAATTTCTCTTTTTATTAAAACACCAGTCAGATTGGATTAAAATCTGCCCTAATTGTCTCTTTTAAATTAAAACACTTCTTTGAAGACCCTAACTCCAAATACAGTCACATTCTGAGGTTATGGAGGTTAGGGCTCCAACATATGAATTTTGGGGTGACACATTTCAGACCCTAACAGTGTGACATCTCTTCTCTTTCTCCTTCTACAATGCTGCCCCAGTGGCAGCAACCTACATCTCTACCCAGAGGACCAATGCCCAGATTAGCCTTCCCTTCAAATTTCCAAGATTGAGACTTCAACATGTTATGAGGATTATTCTGCCTAGGGTGGGGGTGAAAAGTAGTTGGAAGACTTGAAGAGGCCACTAGTTACAAAAGAGAGAAACATTCTTAACTGAGGGACTTGCATGAGCAAAGATACCACAATGTTAAATGTTGTGGGGAAGTTGGGGACAATTAAATATTGCTCTTGTAGCGGCTGAATGTGGTGTATGCTAATAGTTGAAGAAGAAAAAGGCTGTCTGAGGTCACATTGTAAAAAGCTTTTATTTTGGCATAACATCAGCCAATGTTTTATCTAAAGAGACAAAGATAAGAAATTAGAGACCATTCCAATCACTCATGCAGGAAACAATGCAATTAACTTGTAAAAGATTGGAAGATGAGGTTGACTTAAAGCAAACAGCTATTAGAAAGGGGTAGAGGAAAGGCGTGGCAAATAAAAGATAAGGAGAAAAAACTGGGGAGAAAGAAGGGAAAAGAAGGGGGGGGCGGTGAGACATCCTGTTTTTATGTAAATGTAAATGATGAATTCTAATGACCCAGATGAGATTCTGTTGAGTTGGGCTCTGCATCCTCAAAACCATAGGGTTTCTTCCTTAAATTGGTCATCACCTCTCAGTACAGTGGAGGGTACCAGGAGCAGAAAAGGCTCTAGAAGTCACAGGGTCAGTTAATGTGGAGGCACAGTAGCAAAAGGAAACACCAGTAGTAGAGGCAGCAAAGATTTCCAAAAGGAACTGGAGTTCTGGATGAAATCAGCTTCAGTGGGTTATTTGGGCTGAGCATAGACATGTCCAGTTCTGACTGGTTATTTAGGGAAAACAGCTCAGGGCTGGGCTTACAGTGCAAGGACCAGTGACCCAGATCCAACCACACAGAGGAAATAGCAGTGGATATCAAAGGGCTTAAGTTTTCCCTCTCAGAATATTGGGGCAGGAAAGCAGAAGGAAAAGACACTTGCAGAGGTCACTGTGCTTGGCCACTGTGATCCCTAGTGAGTTTATAGCAGGGGTTAAGGCCAGAGGTTAAATATGAGGAAGACAACAGAGCAAACTGAATGATTTATCCCATCTGCAGGCTCAAGTGCAGCAAACCTTTTTCAGCCTTATCAAAATAGCACCCACCGAGGAGGAATTGCTCTGAATAAAGATGGTCTTAACTGGCCACTGAATGTCAAAGTTGTGACCATCTCCAAAGTGGATTTGATTTTTCTTTATGAAACTCCAGGTCACAAGAACATGGGGGTTTCCACTCACGTGCCCCATGACTAATTAAGCCTAATGGGTTATAGATTCCAGCTGTGGGATTTATGGTCGCTGTTTGGGATTGCAAAGAGTAAATAAAGCTCCCCAATTAAGACCACATTTGTCCAGTCAGAGCCAAAAGGTAGTCTGGTTCTTATGAAGATGCTGGTGACAAACTGCAGAGTGTTGTGAGGCCTGGGTCACAGGTGGGCAGAGGTAGGAGGTACCTGCCAGGTCTGGGCCAAGCTCTTTGGCACTTATCCCAGAGAAATGGGGGCAACATCAACTCTGGAAGCAGCTCAAGGACTTGTACCACAACTGAGGCTTCCCACTGCATTCCTCCCTCACCCGCTTTCCAATCATTCTTTAGGCTTCATTAGTATTGTGTGTGTATTTCATTGTAAAAAATAATGTAGGCCAGGCGCAGTGGTTCATGCCTATAATCCCAGCACTTTGGGAGGCCAAAGTGAGAGAGAGGACTGCCTGAGCCCATAGGTTTGAGACCAGCCTGGACAGCTTGGCAAGACCTCATCTCTACAATAAATTAAAATAAATAAATAAATAACCAGGCCTGGTAGCACATGCCTGTAGTTCCAGCTCTTGGAGGGCTGAGACAGAAGGATCACCTGAGTCCAGCAGGTCGAAGCTGCAGTGACTGTGAGCATGTTATTGCACTCCAGCCTGGGCAACTAAATAAGACTTGAATTAAAAAAAAAAAAAAATAACGTAAGCATGCCATAGAAATCCCAGGAAAGGAGACTCCACAATACCACCACCCAAAAGTTAACTGTGATGCAATTGGAGTTTTCCTCCACTGGACCTTATCCATCTTCGTCCAGAGTTTCAAAGTGAGGACTTAAGGCATTCGTGGAAGAAAATCAACTGGAGCACCTGTACTGTAAGACTTTATTCAAAAATGCCAGGCATGAGAAATCTCCCTTGGAGAAGGAACCTGAGCCAGGTAGAATTTTTAATAAGGATTTAGGAGGGGGGGTCAGCTGAAGTTCAACTCGTCTAGGAAATAGTTCAAACATGGTTCTCAGAAATAGGAGGAATTTGTTTTAAGGATAAGGAGCTACTGTTTGGGATTTTACCAAAAGAGTAGGGAGGAAAAGTTAGGGGCTAAGTTCATATGGAAGAGGAGAGGGGAGAAATATCTACTGGGGACAAGGACATTCAAGGGCTACCAGTGGAAAATTCTCAGTCTATTAGTGTCTTTTACAGGGAATAAATGCAAACCCAAGTCTTCTGACTCCTGGCGAGAGCTCTTTCCACATTCCATAGTCACACCAACCTTCCTCACTTTGGTAGGTGATTGAAAAAGAATCATGAGATCCTGATTTACCCATGGAAAGAGAGGTTGAGATAAGTAGAGGCCTGGACAGCAAAGGCAAAACTGGAAGATTTTACCACTTTGTCTTAGGGATACTCTTCAACTGGACCAGGGCCTGCATGAGTTGAGCCTGGACAGCAAAGGCAAAACTGGAAGATTTTACCACTTTGTCCTAGGGATACTCTTCAACTGGACCAGGGCCTGCATGAGTTGAGTCCTACTCATTTCTGGCTTGCAGATACTTGAAGGGAATTCTGCCACTCATAGTTGAGAAAACTCAAGGACTTCTTTACAAAGTAGTTTCATTTCCATATGGCTTGGTCTTGAATCATCACTGTTATCAATTACTGTTGTTGCTCCTCGAATTCTGCTCTGCTCAATCCTGAGATTTTTCAGCTGTCAGTCTAGGTGGCCAGGCCTGTAGCCCACTGTACCTTTGTACCCAACGGGTGATGCAGCCCTGTGCACGGACTGTTCAGAGATATGGCAGATCAGGCTGGGCACAGTGACTCATGCCTATAATCCCAGCACGTTGGGAGGCCAATGCAGGAGGATTGCTTGAACCCAGGAGTTCAAGGCAAGCCTGGGCAATTTAGTGAGAACTCATTTCTACCAACAAAAAAAAAATTAGCTGGATGTGGTGGTACACATCTGTAGTCCTGACAACCGGCGGAGGTAGAGGCAGAAGGATTGCCTGTGCCCAGGAGGTCAAGGCTGTGGTGTGCCATGACTGTGCCACTGCACTCCATCCTGGGCAACAGGGTGAGATCCCCAACTCAAAAGAAAGCGAGAAAGAGATGGTAGATGGTGTTCATTTTATTTCCTTGCTGTGCCTTTAAGAACTGCAGGAATGCAAAGGGAGTCTGGAGGAGGGGTGGGGTCTCCTAGTAGGACTTCTGGGAAAAGGATCCTGGGCTTATCTGCCAGAAACTAAACTGAGATTCCAACTGAGAAGTTGGGGGTGGTTCATGTTGAGTCAGGCCTGTGATTGGACTGCAGAATCCCCAGGGAAGAGAAAAGCAAAAGTAAAAAGGAAACAGTTAGGGGAAGAGAACTGAGGGGGAAGTCCTCTCCATCCTCACCCCGGTACACACACTCCCAAGTCTGGAGAACGTTCGTGTGTATCAAAGGAAAGGGCAGCAGATGCCAGGCCCAGGGAGCTCTCTGCCACAAGTCGACCTGCAAGGCCTCAGGAACCAACTTGCCAACAGCTGGACTTGATCACCAACTTGCAAACTGACATCACGCATCGGGTTGAATAGCAAGCAGACTTTGCCCTCTGACTGTGCAAAATACTGTTTTCAGAGGATTTACCACAGCAACAGACAGAAAAGCAGGAGACCACCACCCCGGCCCTTACGTCTTCTTCCAGACCCAGAGTATAAGATTCCACTCCTTGGTGGTTTGCAGGATGATGGTGGCCCTTCAGCGAGCTTCTGTCCTGCTGGTTCTGTTCCTTGCAGCTTTTCTGCCCCCGCCACAGTATGCCCAGGACCCAGCCATGGTGCATTACATCTACCAGCGCTTTCGAGTTTTGGAGGTAGGTGGCATCTGTATACCTTGGACAGGGAACATGCCTCCCAAAAGTCACCTTATTTTACCCATGCTTGGCTATCTACTGGGATACATTTTTCCCAGATAGTAAATGATAAACACGTTGCCAAAGTTACACTTGGACACAGAGTTTAGTCTGTGCCACTCCTAGACCCTGAGGGACTCACTTTGTGCTCTGATTTGACAATTTTTCACATCTATAAAATAAGGACAACAGTAGGATTTATGTTCTAAGACTATTCTGAAGATTTAATTCATATTTAAAATATTGCTTGGTATGATGGTATACACCCCAAATATTGTTATGATTCACCATAGTTCATTTTGTAAATAAGAAAATTAAAAATTTTTGGTCACCTCGTCTTCATGTTTTACGATGTCAAGATGATAGTGGATTTTAGCTTTTCTTTTTTTCTTTTTTTTTTTTTGAGTTGGAGTCTCACTCTATTGCTCAGGCTGGAGAACAGTGGTATACTCCTGGCCACCACAGCCTTGTCCTGCTGGGTTCAGGTGATCCTTCTGCCTCAGCCTTCCAAGTAGCTGGAACTACAGACACGTGCCACCACACCAGTGAATTTTTTTGATTTATTGTAGAGATGAGGTCTCACCAAGTTGCCCAGGCTGGTCTCGAACCCCTGGGCTCAGGCAATCCTCTCACCCTTCCAAAGTGCTGAGATTAGAGACATGAGCCGCCACACCCGGCCTCTTTTAGTCTTTTGATAAACCATTAGGTCACTGTGAAAAGTCATGATATGCATGTGCTGAGAAGCTAAGTCTTATCTTCTTTTGCCTAACTAGAAATGAGCAGATTTCAGCAATGTTAAATAGAAAGCATTTGCGCTGACATCTCATTAGATTGGGCAAAACTCAACATTTTTGCAGCATGGACAGCCCCAAGGGACATATGTAACCCTCCACCCTAGCCTTTGCCACACCCTGGCATTGACACTATTTCATACTTAATGCCTTGCTTTTGTACAAGTTAAATTGGTAAATGCATTGTCTTCATTTCAAAGACACTCTTGTCTTCAATAATTAGTTTCTATATTTTCCAAAGAAATCTTCGTGTCCAAATTATTTGGTCATCTGGTTACAGTCAGGGTAAAATAATTCCATGTGGCAAGCTGCATGCATTTCCTAAGGTTATCCAGTCAGTAGACCGAGGCCTGGAGGCAGTGGATGAAACATGCCCAGGGCAGTGGCCTCTCGCTGCAGTCTCACCTCCTCAAAATTGCCAGAATGATGCTCAGTCAGAATGATGCAAGGTGGGTCCAACACCACCTTGCCCTGGAAATAGGCCAACCAAATCCCTGTAAATTGTCCTTCAACACCTTCAGAGTTTGCCTGCAGACAAGAGTATAAAGTACAGACTACACTTTCACAGCTGTAAATATGGATTTGAAAAAGACAGGAATATGATCTATAGACATCTTTCCACCCCGATCCTGACCTGAAGTGAAGCCAAGTCACAGGTGGCAGTCACCAGTTAACCAGTGTAAACACATAAGAGCAAAGTGATACAACTCCCCGCCTGGGGGAGCTATGTGTGTCAGAGGGGTAGGAAAAAACAAGACAGGGATTTAGGAAATTATTTCCTCTCTCCCTCTCTCCTCTCTCTCTCCCCTCCCTCCCCCCTCCCTTTTCCTCTCTCTTTCT